ATGTCTGTTTACTTGTAAGATTAATATAAAATTGCAACTGTTACGTTGCACTTAAACATCTTATTAAAATAGAGCCAGAAAAGAATATAAGAAGAAGTATATAAGCTGTGGAGCATCATTCATCAGTTAACACGTGTGTACTTACCATATTTGCCTGTTGCTGATGACGAAGAACAACAACGAAAACAACTCAGAGATGAAGAGTTTAAATATTCAAGCGAAGTTTCGCAGTCAGGAGAGGTCGTAGAAACGATTCTGAGCCCATTTTGCGTCCAGGTTCAATGGATTTTAGAGCGTTGAAAGTTTGCGCTGATTCTCTGCTTCTTGTTTATTGCAAAGAGTGATGAGAGTTGTACGTGGAATACAGAGATGACGAGTGCCCTGAGGCTGAAAATAGAGAAGAAGACCCGGCCGAGAGCTAATTAAGTCTGTGAGGTCGGTGTTTTTTTCTTTAGCATGTCTAATACTCAACTGGTATTCTCAAACAGCTCCTCTTATTCATTTTAATTCGCGCGTTGAGGTTGACATCTTGACATTCAGAACGGGAAAATGTGGAAATCAATTACTATAAAGTATGTAAATATGGTAAGAATTTAACTGGACCATACAAAATCATTTGTTCTAGAGAGTTGGCTTTTGGATAGGGGTGTCAATCAGTTTTTTTGAACCGGATTTTAGCAAATCCAAACTCGGCATACAAATTATATGAATTTTTGGATTTTGAACTTCTGGATTTCGAGCTTATATTGATGGGCTCATATTAAAAGGCTCAATCTCAAATCACGCTATTGTATGAGTTTTGGATTCAAGTCTGGAGCATAATTTTAAAATTATGATATTTTAAAATTGCAACAATAGCCGCTTAATATTTTCATAATTTGCCCCCATTTTGACCCCAATATCTTAATTCTCATTCAAAGCAAAGTAGCATTTTTTTTTATGTGTTAACAATTAGACTTTTTGATATAAAGTGAATACTAGCCTATTTAAAGTAGTAATCTTTCCCACCAAAATGGTATTTTTGTTAGGATTAATATTCTATATACTGACAGTGTATATACTTTTACCATCAGATACATGACACATAATCTAAATTTGAATTTGAAACCTAAATTTTGCATATATGTCATGCATCCAACCGTGATAGTGTATATAAGATTTGCTCTTTTTGTTACTTAAGTTTTTAATGGAGAATAAATTGGTCATTTCATTAATTACTTGGATGAAATTAATTTTTGAATTATTTTTAGTTGACAAATGGTGTAAAGTGCCTATTAAAATACTTTAGAGTGTAAAGTGAAACTAGTACAATAGTTCGTTGGGGTTTTATACATTTAGTCCTTATCTATAATATATATTTTATAATTATAAATTAATACAAATTTATATAAATTATTAATATTTTATGTCATAATATTTATAATTATAATTTATAGATATTATTATATATATTTTACATATGTAATTATATTCATTTATGGGCCGAGCTTTAATCGAGTCTGAGCCTAGGACAACTCAACATCGGCTCATATTTAGTTCGGGTCTAATATTTAGATCCAACTTCTGTCCAACTCAATTAAAATTTAGACTCAGTGAGCTTTTTTCCAATCGAACGGATCGAGTTCTGGTTAATCCGACCCCATTGGTAGTTCTAGTTTTGGATTAGAGGCAAGTATTTTAGGAAATCACTCATTAATGTTGATATCAATTTCCGTGGTGGAGATTTACCACATTATCTGCATTAATGTTCTAGTCTATCATTTATGTAGAACAATCCTCACGCATTTGTTAAACATACACCTAATTGTCTTACCTTATCAGTGCTATTTTATAACCTGTGTGATGTGTCGCATAAGAAGATTTATCCCTAGTATTTTGTCTTTTGTTTTGTAAAATTACAAGAAGTGTAAGAATTACAACTCGGTACTCAACCGTGAGAGAAGAAACTCACATATACTAATAATTAAATTGAGGATCTTTTAATTTTTTTTTTGAAATCTCAACCTTGATCCCTGGATCAAGATCAAGTATTTAACTATCTTCAGTAAGTAAACATCTAGCCAAAAACAGAAGAAAAATGTTATTCGCGCTCCATTTTGTATTATTTGCACTCTCACCTTATATTTTATCATATCATATTGTCTAATAAATAAAAATTATATAATTAAAACAATAGTGGAAGTGTGATTAATACAATTAAGAGTGCATATTACCCTTATTTCTGAGACACTTACCCATATGCATCTTACCCTCCATATAATGAACAGTTCGAAATTATGATTACAATATCTGTCAATCCATTTTTTTTTTTTTTTTTTTGAGACTTACTCTCGTCAAGGGCAGTAGCAAATAGTACGTCTCTATCGAAGGTCCTGTCTTTGCCGGTCGATGGACCCGGACCCTGCATGCCGGGCCGATCGGGGAGATTATCAGAATAATACAATTGGTGACAAGAATTAATGATAGAAGTTGGAGAAAGTTACGGGGGAATAAAAGTCACGGTCCAATGCCAAAAAGGGCTTAGTAGTTAACAATAATGTTGTCACATTTTTTTTTTGCTTTGAGCATAAGGTATTCCTGCCCTCAGTGAGACTAATCCCATATGCGTCCACAAAATTCAACTTTTACACGAGAGTAAAGGTCTGACCCGAAACTTTTCAATGTGGTGACCACATGTAGGAGTCGAACTTGCGACCTTGCATTGACATTAGTAACCCATGACATTAAAAGGTGCATCAGTTACCCGTTAAGGAGCCCTCAATATGTGAACCTTTTAAAGTGTGAAATTAAATTTGGAAAATATATAAACGCAAGAAAACGAATAAACATGAATCCATGAAATAATAGATTAAAACGTAAATTAAGGGTATTAATGAGTGTCTTCTTTGCACTGATTAGAAAGATAAAAAATCTCCCCCTATTGTAGCATTCTCGAGTTAGAACTTGCAAACTCAGTACCCAGACGAAAGATACAATGGTACAATTCCAAAGCATAATCAATTTTGCATTTGGATTTTTTGTTTTGAACACTCTTAGCTGGGATTAGGAATGCTACAGAATATCGATAAAATAATAGAAATAATAATGTGTGACTTGGTTGACATTGCTGTTGCGATCCCATTTAGGCATTTACTTGTATATTCACCTTTCCAGTTGAAAAAGGATCAGTGAGGTCTTCCTCCGAAGTTAATCCTGCAATTAATAACATATAAAAAAATAAATAAATCTATATGTCTTTTCTGTTATGTGCTCCAACAACATAGAATAAGCATACTAAAAAAAAAGAAGAGAAAGAATGAGTGCACAATACAAACATAAAATTATCGCCTATTCTCTAAAAGTCTGGACTTTTGCAAGCAAAATTTCCAAAATTTTTACGTTTTTCATGGACTTATTTTTCAATCAACTTTTTATCTCACATACATCAAATTAATATAGTATATTTTTTTTTATAAAATTTTCAGAAAATAACAATCCAAATGGGCTCCCACCTCTTAGAGCAAACAATAGGAAATGAACAAAAAAGGTACATGGCTCCCACCTATTAGACCAAGCAATACAAGATTCCAATCTAAAGCCCCGGTGCGCATGTCTTAACTCCAATGACTTATGTGAATCATGGTGTGAATTGCAAGAACGTTGCGACTTTTGGATCATAGACTAAAGGATGATAGGACAAATCCGTGAAAAGCCTGCTAAAAAAATATCGACGCGTTACTTGGCAGTTACGGGGAAGGCCTTTCAACACCTATATAAACTTCCTGTTCATTTTCCAAATAAATCAACTCCATGTATGAGCGTTCTTGTTGGGGCGCTGGGCCGGGCCGGAGTGGGATTAGTCAGGCCGCCTTTACGGATTTGATCCGGACACCCACTCCGTCGACAAAAAAAAAAAAAAAAAAAAAAAAAAAAAAAAAGAAGAGTACGAGCGTTCTTGGGTGTAAATTTTTTGAACCGGTTATATTCCAGTTTCCCAAACTCAAAGAAATTTTAGAAATAATTTCAAAAACTTCCCTTGAAGTTTCTAATAATTTCACTGCCCTCCCGTAAGATTTTAAAAGTTTCACTTACCTCCCCTATCAATCAGTTGGGGCCTAATGCTTACATCACTAATGGCTAAATGACTATTACCCTTATAATTTAGGATAATTATACATATATGTGAAGGAAAAGAGTTAACATTTTGCTAAATACATTAACCATAATTTGGATTGTAAAAATTTAATTAATTTGCTGTCTAAACATAGAGCCAATATTAGGTACATCTTTTTAAATTTTTATATACTTGACAAATAAAAGAAATTAGACGTAATTAAAAAGTTTACAAACTAAATTAACCATAATTTGAAATTTAAAAAAAAAATCTAATTTAACATCTAAAAGGGGATCCAATACTAGGCATCCTTTTTCCAAATTATGCACTTGATAAATAAAAGGAACCAAAAATAAAGAGATTTTAATTATGTTAATTTTTCTTATAATTGCGGTGATAGCAAGAATCTTAAGGTATGGAAAAAATGTTTTGTTAAATTTTGGAAGTTGTTATTTTTTGTTATGGATAATAGAAATTTTTTTATTGACCATGTATAGCAATGGCTCCATAAGTAAATTAACAAGTTAGATCAAATATCTAATATAACTAATACAATAGTTAAGGGGCACTTTTGGCATAAACAAATCTTCTCATATTTGTAATTATTTTTTTATTGTTGCTTTTTTTAAATTGGACTAAATTGTTACAAGAAAATTGATTTCAAGGGAGGTTAGTGATATTTTTAGAACCTCATGGGAGGGCAGTGAAACTATAAAAAACCTCAAGGGAGGTTTCTGAATTATCCCTTTTTATTTTTGTTGGATTCGACATCCATCATTAATTGATTGAAAAATCTAAAGATAACTCTGATATGCTATAGAATCGTAGTAGTAATATAGAAGAAGAGGACCACCACCGTTGATAAATTTTTGTGTGAAAATGTTTAGGACAAATTGAACTATTGGAGAGGCTCGTAAATGCAAGGGACAAGCTATTAATTTCTGCTAATTCAGATAAATAAAGCTGTCCGGCATTCAATTTATTTGACCCCGAAAAGTTCATTACATTACTACTGTAAAATACTCCTCTTTCTCTCTCTCTCTGTTCCTAGTCACGTGATGGTAGGAAAATCGTTCACCATTCATTTTCATACTTTATTGTTAAACGGGGACCACATATCCCGCCAGAGACACAAGAATTTCCCCCTCGATCGAAAGCAATACTACCATTACGCGCACATCAACCTCTCAAGGATGCTTACTGGACTCATTGGAAGCAGACCAGTTAATCGTCGATATGCATTGAGCATGACCATATTGGCATATTCTATTCTACTACGTGCGTCCGTTGTGATTGATATACATGCAGTTGATTCTCGCTCGTGAGTCTGTTCAACTTCAACAAGGAGCCGATGGCCATAACTCTGCTCTTTTCACCTTTGATATGCTCTCAACCACTCCCGTTGGTGAGACATGTCCCATCACAGTCACCCTCTTGCTCTCCAGATCAATGCTGAACGATGTTACCCCTAAAAATCCATAAAGATACAAGTATATATTAAACCTCAACCTCAAAAAAAAAAAAAAAAAAAAAAAACCCCCACAAAGTGTACGTAGAGGAAAGAAGACATCAATTTTCTTGGAAAAATGGTGACCGAGATACAAGCATGCAGGATCTTTTGCTTTCTTGCGGTCCAATATCTGACTTCATAAAGCAAAACACCGCTATAGTATATATGTGACAAGTGACCAAGACCAAGGCCATGCATATTCCAACAAATAAATGAATAAATAGATGCTCAACCAGTCTCCTTCAGCAAACGTTTGGAAATGGAAGTATACTACAAAATGTGCACCAATGAAGAGTATAATTGATATGACATGCTCAATAAAAAAATATATGACATAGATTAAATCTGTATACTTAATTTTATGTGCATGGCGTGCTATATCTGTGGTAGTTAATTAGCTTTCCCCTCACCCACACCGCCCGCCTACGTGCGGAACTAAATATGCATTTGAAAGCCTGGTTGATAAACAGTCTTATCTCACGATTAAGCAATAATTGCATGTCTTAGCTAAATCCATCCGGCCTGCTTGGTCCTGCAAGTTTGATCTATACCTTGTCTTTTGGGTGAGAAAAAGAATCTGATTCAACACTTCAAGTTCGAAAAGGATATATAAGCCATATCATCTTTAGTCAAGCAAAATAATCTTGGATCGATTCAGAAAAGTCTTTAGTCAAGCAAAATAAATTTGGATTCAGAAAAGATCGCAAGTATACGTAGGGCTCAATAGCATTGCTTGTGAATTCATATTAATTCTGCAATTGCTTCTTATGTATAATATCTATCAAGGATTTTCTTTCTTTTTCTTCGTTTAGAGATATATGACAAAACTCTAGTAAGGAAACAAGTGTCGCAATCAGGAAGTTCTAGTCGTTAAAAAAAAAAACAAAAAAAGAGTATATACCTTCCATTTTAGATAAATGTTTCTTCACTTTACCAGCGCAGCCTTGGCAATGAAGGGAGACTCTCATGACAACCACCTGCCACGGCAGAATTAAGAAGCAAGAAATACACGTGTTAATAACTCAGTGTTCTTCTCTCTATTGTAATCTAAGAATTAAGTACTGCAAGGTCTTTTAAATTATGATGCATGCCCATCTAGAAGAGCAAGTAGACGGTTAAAAGCACTAATCATCATAGCGTCTCCCGTCAACTTAACCTGGAAAACCTGATCCCTTTCTGCTAATGAAGAGACTACTTGGGATCGGGATGCCTTTTCTGGTTGATTCTCGACTCCGAAAGATGGAACAATAGCTGATCTGAGAGTAGCTGAAGCCAATCCACGGCTACGAGCACGAGGCTCCACCATGCGACTGTGCTTTGTGCTATCGATCAGCCTTGCATGTTCAGCCAAGGTTCGATCGGATTCAGGCCCCCTTCGCACTATCACAGACAAGGGTTCGCTTGCCATGCACACTGCTGTAGCAGCTGGAGATTGGCACATGAAACCCCTCATATTCTTCGCTGCCTTCATGTTCATTTTCATCATATATTCTTAACTTGCATATGAACTGGTGCCGCTTGGGAAACTTGTAGATCCTTAATTTGCAGTTATGCAGATTTTTGAAGCCGTTCTGAAGGATATATAATAGGCCAAACCAAGAGAATGAAGGCTGAGAGGACTAATTGGCGAAGGTAATGCAAGTACGTATAGTGAGAACTGCTCACTTTATGACAAAGTTAATTCTAGCAGGAGTTGGATGACGGTGCTCAATTCTCCATGCAGTATACCCATGTTTCGGATGTAGCCAATACATAACTTGTCGTCCTCTGTAATGCAATGGATGCCCTACCCAACTGGTTGTTGTAGACAACGAACAATTTGGTCGAAGTTATTACGTTGAAAACGACTCGTTCGGGATAGGTCACTTTGTCGAAACCCAAGGGTTACTGAACATTTGATGGGGTAAACAATATATAATCCCCATAAGGTTTTACATAAGGTCAGATCACTCTTCTAATGTTTCAAAATATTTATATATATATATCCCTTATAATTTTATGTAAAATGAAAAATAGACGGAATGCATAATCAGTTCCGACAAATATAGCACATGCGCTCTAAAGTGTAATGAAATCATAATATCCACTTAACACCTTATGATTTGCATAATTATCCAATTTGCTCCTTAAAATTTTTGCATTTATCCACATGATACCCCTATAACTTTGTACAAGGTAGCTAAGTTATCATTTGATTTAGCATTTAAGTAAGAACACTACTGATATTTCAATTAATAATGTTACATAGACTATTTCAGTTAAATATCCAGTTTACAAGACTATTTCCGTTAAATATCCAGTTTCAACTTTACATGAAACTATGGAGAGGTGACGTAGATATTTTGAAACGTTAAAAAAATTATATGGCAATAGATAAAATCACAAGGAGTCATTAGTAATTTATCCTATAAGATGCGGTGAGCTGAGCTCTTCCCATGAACTCGCACTTCATCACGACTTGAATGCAAAATGCCGCTGATGGTGAACTCACACGAATTATTTTCATTTACTTGCCACTTGGAAGCAATTTTTCCCCCATTTGGATAAACCACGCGTTCACTTGAGACATGATCGTCTCCAATAATTAGAACTTTTTTTTTTTTGGAGCAAACATTGACTTTTCAAGGGATAAGAAAAATCAGCTTATACGAATCCAGCAAACTAATTTCTTGCAAACAAAATTCAGCTAAGACACTGATGTGGTAAGAACTTTTCTTTTTTGGATCTTCAATCATGAAAAGTTAAGACCATGAGATGCATGTACTTCCAAATATACTTTTATCTTAAGCAGCATTTGGTTGGGCACACTCTCGGACGGACAAGGGCCACCGTCCTTGCTGCATATACTGCTTGCTCGTTAATTTTACCACAAAAGAGATAAAGGTTCTAAAGATTTTCGGGTATCTTGAACTAGCATCAAACACGTATCAGAAGGACTAGCACACTTACAGATAATGGAAAATTACACGTACAAAATGTACAAAGGTGGGCCAATTCTTCTAGGACAGACTATGACGGTCAAAAAGAATGAAATGTACAACAAAGTTCTCAGTTGAGCTGCAACTCCAATAAATAAGTTTACCAAGTTAAGGAAGAGATTCCTCTCAAGTCTCAACTGCCTTCAGAGCTGATCAATTGGTGTATCAGACCATCTCCTTACAACAGAACCCAAGTATTCTACCAAGTCAGTTGTCAGTCAGTCTTGAACCAATTCTGGAGCAGTACGACTAAATGCATACTTTGCATGCAGCACCTGCTTCACACAAAGTGATTTTATAAAAATAAAATAAAGAAAAAAGAATATCAAGACTTGTGGGTCCGGGCATCAAAATAAGTATCAATATAAACCAGACCGTAATTAGTTCTTTGATGTGAGGGATACAATCACCTTAAATGCACTAATAAAAGGAAGTTTGATGGCAGTGATTATGAAGTAATGGCCAAAGAAGGGGGTCGATGAAGGTAATTAACTCCACAGTTTCATCTAGTAGATCTACATTTAAGTTTATAAACAAGAAATTAGTAGCAGTGGTAATTTTTGCTGTCAACCACTTGCTTTGTCTCAGTGTTGCCTAGGACCACCATATAAAGCAGTGAGACTCCAGGTCGCCATCAAGACTTGGTCCAGGACATTAAGTTTTGCCTTTGACAAGAAGACAAATGGGTAGATGAGAGATCAGTTCTACAGCTAGCTAATGATAAGTCCATCAGTACTGCTTCACTACTCCGTGGAATTGCACTGCCATGTGAAGCTCTGACCACCTAGCTGTTAAGTTCCTTACCTTGTCTTCCCATGCTTGCAATTCCTAGGGACCATAGGAAGTGGTATAAATTTCGTTTGCTCCTTACTGCACAAACTGGTCCACTGCTGTGGTTAGCTACCATATTATTGTGGAACAAGGACTTCGAGGGTAATGCCCTTATCCTAACTAGTCCTACAGCTCAGTGGGCTTACCGCAAGTTCAGTAATAAATCTACCACTAAAAAGTGAACTGGAAGCACTGCTAATGTGAATACTCTATTATTGATCTCATTTATCTGTAGGTGAAACTTTATCTGTAGTGGTGAAATTTATCTGTAGGTGAAACTTAATTCTGTAGGAAGGCAACTTGTGAGTTTGAGGATTTAGTAAGAATTTTAAAGAGATTCAGTGAAATTGTCCTTTTTTTTGGTTTAAATTCAAATAAAGAGTTTTAAGTAAGCTTACACCAAAATTTCAGAAAAATCCAGCCTAATTTACCTTGTACATTTTCAGTGGATACCATCAACCATAATGAACAAATGGTGCAACTTTAACCTGATAGTGTTTGAGGGAGACAAAGCTGTGTTATGGCAGCATCACCAAAGTAGACAGTTATTGCCTTCAAATGGCCTCTGACTGTATTTCCCTCTATCTGTGCATAAAAATTTTTCTCAGTAACACGTGATTTATTCACAAGTAGATAAGAATGAATCAGTTCATGAAAATTAATCAGGTAAAGCTAGTACCTCAATATCCAAAGGCGGTGAAGACAACCAAGAAAGTTGCTCCACTTCCAGTAAGTCTACATTTCTGGGTAAGTACATGATTATATGAGGTGTTATTTTTTGTGCAACTTGAAACATGGAGTGCCTGCACATTGATAAAGTATTAGCTAATGGCTCTAGATAGAGGTTAGAAGCAAATTTGACAAGTGAAGAATTATATCATCTCAATTCCACGAAGATCTTGAGCTGAAAGGCCAAAGTATTTGTTAATTCAGAACAAGTTCTTCTTATGCACATTTTGATTAAAAATAAATCAAGAGGAGTAGGAAATTCAGAGAGCCATTTAAATAGCAAAAACACGCATAAACAACCCATAGTATCAGAAGTCAGTAAAACTGAGACATAAATTTGAAAACAGTTGGCAGAGAAGCAGCATGCCCTATACCCAAATTATTATCCTGACAAGTTTATAGGACAAGCGGCACTCAAGTTTATTCAACAGAAATTAGAGGTTCAAAAACAAGTATTATTCAGGCCAGAGGACTTCAGAAACTTGTATAATTCGTTGGTCATACATCAATTTTCATATTAATTTGGAACAATCTTACTCCAAACAATCATACCAGAGATAGTCTCTATACAAAGATGAAGCTGATGAATGACAGACTAATATTATGAGAGGCATCTAAACTTATTGAATCTAATATCCTCTATAGTGCTTATTAAAAGACAAAAAGGTAGCAATACTTCATCAAAAATTAAAAAATCAAGTTATAAGAGAGGTTGGACTGAATGAACATGATGTTGCATCAAATACGACGCAAAATTAACTCCAACCTTAAACTCGCATTTTATTTTCAGCAAGGAAACCATCTCAACTGAAACCATAACCATCATTTCAAGCAGATAGAGTTGATCGTCTCTAACCAAGATCATGCATGATATATGTATATAGTATTTGAAAAAAAAAAGTTCAGATACAAAACCACCACCACCTACCCATCTTTTGGCTTCAGTGAGTCCAGAGTAAATTTCTTAGTCATCTTGTATGATGGACCTCCCCATGGTGGTGAAAGAAACAATACATCTCCCTAACAGAGAAAATATTGATCATAACTTCGAAAAAACAGCAGTATAGGAACAAATATCCATGAGAACTTGATAAAGGCAGACAGGTCCAGCAAAAAACTGATAACTGGAACACGTATCCATACGCACATTAAGAGTAATAGTTCAATCTACTAAAGATGGAAAAACTACAGCAAACTCAATAAGATCAGGAAAGTTTAGGTGATGAACTTAAAGTTTGATACAAAATTAATGTTTACTTATTTCTGATTGTTCCAAGATTCCAGATAATTCCAAAAAAAAGGAGCAAAAGTCTATAGCCCACTATCATTATAATTTTGCATTTGATACATCTTTCTGGCTATCAGTTTGAAGCCACCATACCTCAGTCTAAAAATATTATCAAGTCCAAGGTGAACCTCACTGGAGGGTTAAGTATCTCATATGATTAGCTATCAAAAGCAAAAGAAGTTACCAGAGTGTTTTAAGAAAGTTCCCAATTCATCAAAGAAAATTCCAAGTTGTTGCCTACCGAGAGAGTTAGTATATTTCTCAAAAGCTCTCTGAGTTGACAGAAATATAAACATGCGGTAGACCATGGAGCTTGTTGTAAAAATCAGTATTTTGAAGCAAAAAGAAGCTTTTATGAAGAAGAAGAAATTCTATTAGTAGCATTTGGCTTGGTCTAGTACATTGAAAGCAAAGATGCAAAAACAAGCACTTGGAAAATTTAGTTAGACATAAAGTCCAGGCCAGTTTTATAAAACTTTCTTTACCATTGAGAAATAAAACTAGGATTCTTAAAGGTTTTTCAACAAGTATTTAACCTAAAAAAGAATCCCAACTTTAAAGCAGACCCTTCAATCACATTGCAATAAGCTCTCCGCATCGATAATTCATACCCAAAGACAGGAAACCGAATGCAAGAGCAAATACTTGAAGAAAGAGGCCAAGCCTAAACATAGCTGTTTAGAACAAGAAACAACTAACCAATCCCTAAGAATAAAAGACTGAACCATGTAGCTTTGTTTGTAATAGAAACAATATTCAACCTCAGAAAATGTCCATGAAGCATAATCAAATAATATCAACTGCATACCTAGTATTATAGAAAGAATACCTTGAGGGATGGTGCCAGCTGAAAAAAGTCTCCAACAACGAAATCGATGTGGTCTTCAACACCATATACCTTGGCATTGTTCATTGCCAGGGCAACTTTTTCGGGGTCAATGTCAATGGCAACTACATGATCACACCTAGAATATGCATGCTAGCAAAGTGCTACTTCAATACATCAAAGATGTTGTGAATACATACAAATCTTATTAGAACCAGTTACACAAATTCACATCAGCATCACACATGGCAAACCACAAATTCATCAGAATAGTAAATCTTCAACCAATTTTTTATAACCCAAAAAACTCTCCAAAGAACCAATATCATCTGAAGAAATCCAGTTTCTGTTCTTGTTAGCTTCAGCTTTGGCCAAAGCTGGTTATGAAACACTTGATTCTAATATTTTTAGAAGAAAAAAAGGGACTTTAGGTGAAACTTGAAACCTCGTTTACGTTTTCAAAGTTTTGAAAACCGAAGAAGAAGCTGTTTGCCAAAGCTGCCAGTGGAAATCAACTTTTGAAGTTCACAACAAAAGCTAAAAAAGCAAAAGTCATGCGCGAAACATAACACCTCAAAGTAGCTTTTAGCTATCAAAATGTCGATGATCAGCTGATTTAAGCTTAGTATTTTAACATTCCAATAATTAAGCTTTAGAAGAGAACACTAGTCTACGCAAGTCAAACTATCCAATGCCAAGAAAAAGGGGGGGAAAAAACTTACACTCGAGCAAATTGAATGGCATTACCACCTACGCCGGCGAAACAATCGATGACGACACCGGCGCCGGTGCAACGCTGAGCATGGCCGACGGCAATCTCCTCCGGAGTAACGGAAAACCAGCCTTCTTCGTCTAACTTAATTCCTTCATCATATCTCCAAAATAAATCGTACCTCTGAAGCCAGTACTTCTCTACTAACGGACTCACTCCCTGTGTTATTTTTTCCTCTTTCAAAACTCTCTTTTTTGCCTTAATTCTCACTGAAAATACAGCCCAAAAAAAAAAAAGAGTAAGAGCTAGAATTCGATATTCTCCAAAAATGGGGCGGGTGAGTTAAACGTAGTTGCACCTTTACTCTTGAAAATCCTGCGCTTCTTCCTCCAGCGTCGCATTACAATTCCAGAATCCAACTATACTAGAACAGAACCGGCAACAATTCTGGATTTGATTTTTCTCAGAGGCAGAGGGTAAAGTTCTCCGTCGAGACGGATAAAATATCAAATTGACTCAAGTTCAAAACTTAAAGGACTAACAGTGCAAATCTCCCTTGAGTAACAGGAAGAGCCGAGGTTTTGGCTCTCAGGATAACTCTTCAAAACAGGTATCAGAAACCTCCCTCGAGAATTTCTCCCTCGAGGTTTCTCTTAATATTACTTGACACCCTTAAAATTTAAACAATATCACTTACCTCCCTTAATAATTATAGAAAGACTACATTAACCCTCACTTTGTACAAAAGTCACCTTCTTCTCTCACCCCTTTCTCCAACAGCTTCTCTTACTCTTTTTTATTAACATAACACTCTAAGAGCCAAAAGGCGTTACTGTTCATTTCTTTTGGTCGTCATCACGTGCCATAAGCATGCCTTCAGTATTTGTTTTTTCCCCGCGGTTGTTAGGGTTAGGGTTAGACACACAAAATACGTTTTTCCTGACTTTCCTTTCCAAAACCTCGCCGCCGCCGCTTCTTTCCTGTCTTTCCTTTCCAAGATTATAATGCCAAAATCTTCAGTACGTTTAAGCCTCCTCGCTCTTTGCTTATTTTCTTGTAAGTTTGTAGCTTCCTTACTCTTAGTTTCAATGCCAAACGAGGAGAGAATAAAAAATTATATGAAAAGAAGGAGATGGAGATTTCAGAAGCTGGTGCTAGATCCTCCAAAGCGTGTGGCCAGCATCATTTCTAGCTCAAGGTTTGGGACTTTGGTTTAGGGTTTTTCTTTGCTTTTCCCAGATTTATAACATGTTTTTGGGACTTTGATTTAGGGCTTTTCTTTGTTTTTCGCAAATTTATTCTCTTTCGCTATATTTTTTTTTTCTCAGAAAGCTCCTTCATTCTCCGTTCAAATCAGATTATTTTTTATATTATTGTTCCTTATTTTTCTTACCTTTTTCAAATCAGGTGGCTTTTTTGATGTGGTTGCTCTTCATCTTTAAAAAAAAAAAATCTGCAAGAAACTGTTTATCCTCCGTCAATTCAGGTAACTTTTCTACAAGACCTCCCTTTGCCCCCATCTGTTTATTTTCTTATGTGCTTATCTTTTTCTTTTTCCTTTTTAAAATGCATAGAAGCCCTTTGAATTGGAATGTGCGAAAGTACTGATGCGTTTCTAAAGGACCTTTGAAAGATTTATTTCTATGCAGCAAACTGAACAATATGAGGCAAACAGAAATCTCTAATATAAAGTGCTTAATTTCTATGTTTTATTTATTTTTTTCCCGTACTTCTTTTTTTTTTTTTCTTTTTGGTCAATGACATTTTTGGGTTTGATGGAAGCCTTTGAATATGATGGCAAGGCTTCTCCGAAATGCTTCTTCTCTCGGATGCCTCTGTTTTTGCAACCTCTCTCTCCGGTAATTTCCCCACCAAACCAGATTTTGTTCTTATTTTCTTTGTATTTTTGGAGAACAATTTGGTTAGGATTAATGATAGGTAATGGCCCGTTGTAGAAATTTGAAGCATTTTTTAAAAAAAAATTCAGCTTTTTTCTCAAATATGTTTTTCACAACTTTGGTGAGTTTCAACGTTTTTACACTACCTTGTCTTGTTTGTATTCTTTTGAAGTTATAGGTGTAATATAGTGTTTATGCTTGTTATTAGCAGTTGGAAGCTGCAAATCATTTCCTATCAATTACGAAAGCCAAATGCTTTACTTTGCTAGCTTGCAGAAGTTGTTCCTTGTTTTTAAAATTATTGAACTTGCATATTGTATAAAGAAAAAGTCTTTTGTTTGATACGTTTTCTAACATCATTTTTCAGTTAGTACTGCTTTTCTTTTTTTATTTTGTTTCTCACTTTCTTCACGAGTCATGACATGAATTTGTTGTTTGTTGATGCAGACTTTATAGGAAAGTCTTGTTAGGGCATACACTCAACTCTCCTACTTTTCCTCCAAAAGGTACCCGAAGTTTATTTTCCTGCTGAACTGACTTGCATTTGGTCTTCATGCCTTCTTAACTTGGTGATCACTTTGATAGGTTTCAAAAATAGATTAAGTAAAATAACTTTTGCTTATGAAGTCTATCTTTTTAGGCTTTAGCCCCTTACCAGTACCAATTAAAACTAATGCATATATTTGCTTAGTGTTTGAATACTTCAAACATCATGTTTATTTAATGTGACAGTTGCATGTTTTCCCCCATATTTTGGTTTTCTGTTCACTAAAAAATTATAAAGCACCCAAGTATGCAAGTGTATTACCATATTTTAGCCTTGTACCTCCCTCCTAGAGTATTTTAACATTAAATGCATCATTCTTAATGTAAAAATCACTTGAACCCTTTTCCCCCATGTGATTCTTTGAATTAGATGAGTTCTTTTAAGTATAGCCCTTTTGCTGAAATTTGTTGAGTTTGATATTTTTTACATTTGGCTGGGATTGTGTTATTCCTGCTTGAGAGTACCTACTTTTTGCTCTTTCTGCAATAGAAAAATATCAATTGTTTTTTCTTTTGCTTCATTAGTTCATTATGAATATAAGTAATTTTTTGTATGGAAGGTAGAAGAAAATCCAAGTCAGACGTCAAAGAAAGATTTGGTGCTCAAGTACTATCAGATCACTGCATCATTTGGAAAAGGTTCTATCATGTGGCTTGGCCGCTCTGCCCCTGTCAAACAAGTTCCAGTTGTGTCCACAGGTTCATTTGCTTTGGATATTGCATTTGGGATTGGAGGACTTCCAAAGGTTTATGTGTTTCTTATGTTGCAATGCCAGATGTTGATTTTGAATTATTGTTTCAAGTGCACTAAACATCTGCAAATTTCTAAAGAATCATATTGACATCGTTTTAGAGTGCAAATATACCACTGAAAGGACCTCTCTCTATCTAATTGGGACTTCAACTAATAGTTGCTGTAATTATTCTTGATTTGAATATTTCCATTCTGATTTATCAGTATTTGCAGTTTCCAAACTGTATAGCAAAAGAAAAGCTTTGTCTTGTTCTTGAAAACCTTCACTGGAATGGAAGCTTTTAAATTACTTTGTATCACTATTGGTTTCTGTTAACCTTATCATTTTGTATCACTATTGGATTTGTTTGATGTAATTGGAGTAGTGCATTTTGGCATCGGGAAATATTAGTAGTTCCATAGCCATGGGAGATGTTACCATCCCCATGCAATTCACTCAGGCTGGCTTATGGGATTGGCTCAAAACTTCCATTTCTTGCTTTTAACATGAATACATGAAACTTTGTTATACATCTATTTTCGATTGATTTACATGAATCTTTTTTCTTAGCAGAAACTTAATGTGACAATCGTGACAGGTGATTTTACTAAATTGGATTTTGACTCCTACAATGGGCCTTCCAGAGGATATAATCAATTAGGGAGCATTGGATACAACACTGAGTAGTTCTTTTCGAAGTTAAGAAAGCAGCAGTTTCACATAAGCAAGAATTGGCTTAGATAGCATACACTCATCTTGAGGTATAGGACTCGATACAGTTCCTTCTCTTCTGTGTTTTTCCTTTTCTTTCTCAATTGAAGATTAGAAGTATAGGACTTCTTTATGATCAGTTGCATTTGTTTTGTGTTTCTGGAGTCTGAAAAACCTTAGCAATTATTAAGTGTCAAATATTAAGTTTCAATTATTATAGCATAGAAAACTTCCCTATAAAGGCTTCTATACAAACCTTGGTTTGCCTTTATAGGTACAGAAATATCCCTTCATGATTTTATAGTTTCTTAATACTTCTTATCATATGCTAAATGAAGAATTGAGCTATCAAACCTTAAAATTTTCAGTCACAAAAGATTTTAAATTTTAGATCTAGAAAACACATTATTCTTAGATGAGAATATCTCGAGCTTCTCCAAGGATAAAAGCAACTATGCAATCTAACTTACATGTCAATGCCTCTAACTTTTGGAATGGAGTATTGTTTTAACATAACAAAAAGACGTCCTCCCTATACTGAATAAGTTTCCACTTTGTTTTTTCATTTCAGGATCATTCCATTGACTTTGTGTTCTGCCCCTTCCTTGCTCCCCCTCCAAAAAACATAATAATATAGTTGCTATTTCAATATTTCACTTTTACGACAACGGAATGAGTTTCATGTTGGGATATTTTGGAGTTAGAACTTGTCGGATTTATCTTTCAGATTAGAATCATTTGTTGCCAGTTAACCTATTTCCAATTTCTTCCTTTGGGTGACATACATGGATGGCCATACTGCAATAGATTGCATTTTGAATTCTTTTAACTTCAATTTTTTGGAAATAGCAGAATAGCTAATTTATCTGCTTTGGTGGAATTATGAGTTACCATGCAAGTTGCTCTAACTTGACAACTTATAAGATGCTTTATTTCTGTTTTCTTTGATACATAATAATGGACAAAATATATATCATGCTTCTCTTAAGAGGGGAAAAGCTGGTTTAAGATTTTGTATGAATGTTACAAGTTTTAAAGCTGTCGAGTTTATCTTATTTGTTTTGGGATCAATCAATGTCTCCTGACCCATTTCCAGTTTCCTTGCATTGGTGACGAGATGCATTGCTAACTGCAATGGAATATATACTAAGATTTTATCGTTATAATTTCATGATTAGGTTGTCGCGGGAGAACTTAGCAAATCTTGCCATGGGCACAGCAGAGACAAAATTGCTTTTGGATAGGAGAAAGATGCATTGTGCGTTTCAAGCTCCATGCCACATGCTTTCTTTTTTATCAATGTAATTAGTTTAAGACAATTCTTTATTGAATTTATTAGAATCTCTATGTTATAGGTTTTTTTTTTGGTTAATCTGTAACTAAACTCCTTCAAACACAAACAATTCCATTAAATGGATCCATTTTGAATATGTACAAATCATTTTATTACACTAGACATCTGCATTTTTGTTCCCCACCATGCTAATACGCGGTTTATGCATTAAACTAGGGAACTAGGGTAAGTAGGGACATGGGATCGAAAAGAAATCATGTATCCATGGCATCATACATTTCACATCTAATATATTAGTATTTCTGCAAATTTCAAATCCGTTTGTATCTGTAAAACATTTCCTTTTCCAAAACAAGAGAACAACTCGGTTGCCGGATTATCTTGTTACATTTATCCCATAATTTTCTATTGTTAACTGATCTGTATAACTCCAATATTAATTTGTATCTAAAATTACTTATCAGATATCCCAACTACTATTTACTTAATTTTAATGCTTCTATGGGCATTTACGTTCTGTACTCCACCGCGCGAAGCGCGGTTTATCTCTCCTAGTTTTTCTAAGATGACCATGCGGTTTTCATTTGTAAATTATAGTATATTAAATTTTGTTTGTCTTGTATTTTTTGTGATTGTGATAGAGTGTGGTATGATTTTTTTTGTTTATTTTGAGTTCATTTTTATAATAATTAATGCAATTTAAAAGTTTGGGCACGTATTGAAAATAAACTAATATATATATACATATATAATTCATAAGAAATTAGTTTTGAGCATAAAGACTTATATTGATGCTAGTATATTTCTTTATAAATTTCTTTTTTATCTTTTAAATTTATATTTTTATGGACTATAGCATTGTGACCTCGTAGTACTACTAGAGATTGTTTTTAGGTGATGGTTTCTTAGATTAAACAAAGTGACTTTGGATTATTTTTATTTAGCAAGTATAAGGACAGTTTAGGATTTTTAAAAATTTGAGGTTTCGGGTATTATCCCAATAGGGAAAAAATTACCGTAAAAACAATTACTGCATCTTTTGGTAGAATAAGTTATCACAAAAAAAAAAGAATAAAGATAAGGGATACAAAATAATAAGAACCAGCAAGTAATGGAAAATGTTCATAAAATTGTTAAAGCGCATATACTAAATGCCTTTTTTTTTTAGGGTACATATACTAAATGCCTTCAATTGTACAAATTTCATCTCTATGTTTTACAATAATTTTCACCTCACAATATCAATTATCTTCAAGTAACATATATATATATATATATAATGGTGGGCCAAGCAAATTTCTTTAAGTTGCAACAGACTAATTTTCATCAGTAGTATTCATTTTGTTATTATTTGTATTTTATTTGATTTAGATTATGTAATATTATGTTATGGAGTTCAATTAATTACATAAAGAATAATTAATTAAGTATGGATTATTATGATATCTTCGCATTTGGGGTATCGCATATTTGTTTAATAATTGCATAATTATTTTTCAAAAAATAACAATATATTATTTTTGAGAGATAGAAAAAGATATATTGTTCAAACTTAGAAATTAATACTATTATTTTTTAGAAAATAAAAAATTCAAAAGGTAAAATATTTAATGAAAGTTAATAACTTATTTTTTAAAAATAATGAAATTATTTTTAAAAAAATTACTTTATTTATTTCTAAGATATGAGTTATGCATTATTAAAATAAATATTTGATTTAATTGTGGATCCATGTTATTTCACCTTGTGGAGTGTAGTCCATTGTAAGTGAGAATATAATAAAAAAGGAAAAAATGGAATGCTAACGCAACATGTGAATTACATTCTAAATAGTATAAACCATTATAGATGCTCTTGGTGGATGCTGTTGTTGGTAATTGCGTGGCGCTATATTTTATATGGTGCGTTCCGTCGTTGTTGAGCTGGCTACAGGAAATGTGTTCATTCTGACGTTGCCTTGCATCCATTTAAAATTTTAGTTGTTTCCTTTTGCTCTACTTCGTTCCTGCTTAGACTTAGGGCCATTTGTATTCACATGCAAACATACTACAACTGTCACCTATAAACATACGAGTGTCTTACAAACTAAAAATATTTGGCACTCATGCAAGTATTACAACCACTTTCAATTGACACGTCATGCATCTCAAATCACTACATATCCAGACAAGTAGCTGGCATTCCATTCAATTCTTTCAATAAACGTTACAATAAAGATTAATAAATAACAATTTTTCCATACTAACTAAGCCCTGACATGCCATTTCAGTATTGCCATGCCACACTCTTCTCATAAATAACACTAAAATTATACTTACTAAACACAAACCTAGGCATTGGCATGGCACCCCAAAACTAGTATATATATATATATATATATACATGTTTTATAACTAGGGAGGGCTGAATTTCAAGAAACTGAGAAGGAAGAAGAGGTTTGATATAATAGATGCTTCTGGACTTGCTGACAACTACAACCACCAAAGCATTAGAGTTGGTGCTTAGCTTGACCTACTATGGTTATAATATCTTGATTTCAAGATGTACGTTTTTTAAAAAATTAAAAACTTTGGTGGTTAATATATACAAAATTTCCTCAAAGTGGTACCGTTTCTTGTTCAAAATCAATGGAAATCGACTTGTTTCGCAGGTTCAACACATCATGTGCACCAAATATCCACATTTAAGTTGGGGGTGAGTTTGCAGAAATAACTTTTTGTCTGGCTTTTATCATCTAGACTTTTCCTATGCCAGATTAATTGGATACTCTTTAGAGTCCTGAGGATGATAGACTCGAACTTTGCTTGCTTCCTTTATTAACAAAGAAAAGACTCTCTCTTTCTTTCTTTTTTTGTTTAACTACTAAAGTGATCTTGCTCAACCATTTGGCAAGCCTTGTTAACTAATTATAAAAGTCAAGATGAGAATAAAATACTTTGTCTAACTCCTCCTTCAGAATTCAGAGAGAACCACAATGGATATCAGGGCCGTCCAAATGAAAAT